TATGTTCCAGGCTACCGCCGTAAAGCGGAAATCGTCGTAAAGTGGAACACCCCTTTTTTTCCCCTTATAAATGCATACAAATACTAGATAACAAGTTTACACTAACATATATTAAGTTAGCAATAGAACTAGGCATCAAAAAACAATAAAAAAGTACAATACACACATAGTGCACTCATTACTTACCTTAAAATATTTATAGTCTTAATCTAGGGTGGGAGGAGTAGTGTTTATTGTAAGAAATAAAGTGTGGTATGTATGGTTGTCAGCCGGGCTACCTTACCAGGCCACCCCACCTACACATAATATTCTATTACAATTAAGCATCCCAGAGCGATAAAATGCATATACAGTTCACTCATTACTTACCTTAAAATATTTGTAGTCTTAATGTAGGGTCAGGGGTGAGTAAGCAAGAGAAAACGAATAAATGAGAGAGAGAGAGAGAGAGAGAATGAATACATGAGGGAGGACAGGCGCAGAGTTATGTAAACAAACCAGGCGAACGTAAATTTTGTAAACAAACAAAGTATACATGTCTGGTTTGTGTACAAGTTGTCTCTACATTGATACTGTAGAATAAATAAAGAAGAACACTCCCATTCTCATGTAACATGTTTTTTAGAAGAAATGACGCTCTGAGTGAAGGCAGTGGAAATAAGGCACTCTGACTTTTTTGGGTTATCCTAAGTTCTCTACACATATGCTGTTATGTATGATAATCTATGTAACTGTATTTGTGTATACCTGAATAAACTTACATATGAAAGGAATAATTTTCTACAGTTTACCCCCAGTAACACATTTTCTCTTATGTTAGACTAGAGAAAATGTTATTCTTGCCATCACTTGTACAAGTTATCTGGCTACCACATCTCATATTTATGTTTATTTATTCTATTGTGGGGTGTATATATCATCTTTATATGTTATGTATCGTGTTTAATATATAATTTTGAAAAAAATATCATGGATAGATTAATTAAAATGTGTATATTAACGTAATATACGACATTTAATGAGACTCGGTGATTATTATTATTATTATTATCCTTTCTAATATGGGGTCATTTGTGCAAGTCGTCTGGCTACCACATCTCATATTTATGTTTATTTATTCTACTGTGGGGTGTATTTATCATCTTTATATGTTATGCATCGTGTTTATTATATAATTTTGAAAAAAATATCATAGATGGATTAATGAAAATGTGTATATTAACGTAATATATGACATTTAAATGAGACTCGGTGATTATTGTCATCATTACTAATATGACGTCTCGAGATATAAGACACTCTTACTGATTTTAATGTGTACCTGCATGCCAGCACAGTATGTAAGTTTATTTAGGTACAGGTATACATAAGTATAATTATCAGAGTATATATAAAATATGAAATAACTTTTAAAAGCACTTGAAATTTTGGAGTTTCTGGACATAATGGAGAGACTTAGTGCTTACGGATCTCACAGAGAATGTAAACAAACCGAGTGGGGCACGGTGACTGTATTAGAAAGTCAGGTGGGGGGAGCCATATAGCGAGTTTTGGTCATAATTTGAAACGACCGTATTAGCGAAACGCCGTAAAGCAAAACGCCGTAAAGCAAAACGCCGTAAAGCAAAACTGGTATGGTAGCCAGCCAGGCTACCATACCAGTCCACCCCATCCATACATAATATTCTATGACATTTAAGCATCCCAGAGCAATAAGATGCATATACAGTTCACTCATTACTTACTTTAAAATATTTGTAGTTTTAATGTAGGGTGAGAGGTGAGTAAATGAGATAAAACATATAAATGAGAGAGGGAGAGAATGAGCACATGAGAGAGGACACTCATGGAGCTATGTAAACAAACCAGGCGTATGCGAGTTTTGTAAACAAACCAGGCGAACACGTCTGGTTTGTGTACAAGTTACATTGTGTACAAGTTGTCTCTATGTTGATGCAGTAGAATAAATAAAGAGGAACACTCCCATTCTCATGTAACACCATTTTTAGAAGAAATGATGCTGTGAGTGAAGGCATACGAAAGGAACAGTTTTCTACAGTTACCCCCAGTAACACATTTTCTCTGATGTTGGACTAGAGAAAATGTTATTCTTGCAGTCACTCGTACAAGTCATCTGGCTACCGCATCTCATATTTATGTTAATTTATTCTACTGTGGGGTGTATTTATCATATGTTATGTATCGTGTTTATTATATAATTTTGAAAAAAATATTATAGCTGGATTAATGAAAATGTGTATATTGATGTAATATACGACATTTAATGAGATTCAGTGATTATTGAGTATTATTATTATCATTACTAATATGGCATCTTGAGACATAAGATACTCTTACTGATTTTAATGTGTACCTGCACACCAGCACAGTGTGTAAATTTATTTAGGTACAGGTATACATAAGTATAATTATCAGAGTATATATAAGATATGAAATAACTTTTAAAAGCACTTGAAATTTTGGAGTTTCCAGACATAATGGAGAGATGTGGTGCTTACAGAGCTTAGGGAGAATGTAAACCAACTGGGTGGAGTGCAGTGACCGTATTAGAAAGTCATTTGGGGGAGCCGTATAGTGAGTTTTGGTTATAATTTGCAGATTAGGTTATGTAGGAGGGATGGGAACAATTTCCCAATGAAAGTAGAGCTTAATGCATAATGTTATCATGGTTATTGAACAAACAGTGGACACTCGACTCATGATATTATTCTAATCCAGAGAGCTCATCGTTAGATGAAATTATCGTTAGTTGAATTAATTTTCCCCATAAGAAATAATGGAAATCCAATTAATCCATTCCCAACACCCAAAAGTAGGAAAAAACATTTTTTTACCACATGAAATATACATTTTCCTGCACAGAAAAAGAAGGATACATGCAAAATATACTGTACTAAATGAAGAATAAATGACACTTACCTTTACTGAAGATGTAGTGATGAGTGATGAGACACTGTTTTTCTTGAACACTCTGGGATTTTCAAAGTGATACATGAGTAAAGGCTTCACTTTGCAATCCCCACTAGCATTACAAGAAAACATGAGACTTAGCCTGTCTTTCACAGGCTTGTGTCCTGGGAGTGCCTTTTTCTCCTGAGTAATGTAGGCCCTGTTTGGCATTTTCTTCCAGAACAGGTCTGTTTCGTCACAATTAAACACTTGCTGGGGTTGGAATTTTTCAGCTTCACCATGCCTTATCACACTGTATATGCCACTACAATTCTTAAATCTCAAAAACCAACCTTTGCGGGCCTTAAATTCACCAATATCAGCACTAGTTCCAGGCATTTTTTCCTGTTCACCTGGGTGTTAGTCGACTAGTGTGGGTTGCATCCTGGGGGACAAGATTAAGGACCCCACTGGAAGTAAGTTAGACAGTCCTTGGTGACACACCGACTTTCTTGGGTTATCCTGGGTGGCTAATCCTCTGGGGTTAATTGTTTCTTGGTAATTGTTTCTCGTTATGCCACACCAACAACAGTCTCTCCACACCTTCGAGTAGTACAGCTGACGGTGGTGCAGCAGCAGCTGACGGTGGTGCAGCAGCAGCTGACGGTGGTGCAGCAGCAGCTGACCATGGTGCAGCAGCAGCTGACCATGGTGCAGCAGCAGCTGACCATGGTACAGCAGCAGCAGCAGCTGATTGTGGTACAGCAGCAGCAGCAGGTGACCATGGTACAGCAGCAACAGCAGCTGACCGTGGTGTAGCAGCAGCTGATCATGGTGCAGCAACAGCTGACAGTGGTGGAGCAGCAAATGACTGTGGAACAATAGTATTTCGATAGTATTTCTCACCCTTTTTACCACAGGGTTGGCACTAGAAGCTTTCTTTGGGCCCATGGTGGCTTATTTAGCAGTTACAAGCACTAAAAACAATGGAATAATACAAAATTTATTGAATGTATACGTGCAACCATCTGCCCTGGCTTGTAAACAATGGCACTAGCTGAACTGAGGTGCTCTGGCCAGATGGACCGCGTTTGGGACAAATGATGTAAATCGAGTTTTTCTTCGTTGGTCGGGGAAATTTTTTTACGCTGAAATACTTCGTAAGTTGATTTTATCGTTAGATGAGGTCTTTGTAAGTCGAGGGTCCACTGTATTTAGTCGCAGTTCATTTCACTCTAATCAGATGTCTCTAAGCCATCTACGTAATCCTCCAAGCACCAAGCAGTGATTATTTGTCTTGCCATTTAGAGGCTAGTGGAAGGAGAAAAGACATTAATTTTGTCTGGTATGCTGAATGCATAACTATCACCCACTTCAACATCTCTGAATTCGCTGTACAACTTTGTTATGATCTATACTTAAAGGCTAGTAATTTACTTTAGTAGAGGGAGGAGAGACTGTCGGTCACATTACAAGCTATAATGTCATATTCTTAACCCACTGCCCTTACTCTATCCCTTTTCTTCCTCACACACACTAACCCCCCCCCCCCCCCTTTTTTTTTTTATTTTCTCGGGTATGTTGTCAATGCATTAATCTGTGGTATATGGGCATATGTGTGTGCATGTGCGTATGCATGCACATCCATCAGCTTCCTGTTTAGTGCAGTTTAATCAAGAAGTGGATTTTTTCAAGGTACCTATTGTTATTTGTTATACATTTGTATTCTTTTATTAATTTTAAAATTAGTACTATTAAGAGTAGCACTGTTAGTTTTATGTCTTAACTAATGGTCCGTCATACAGTAATACCATTGGAGGCCACAAAAAATATACTTGGCATCTTTTCACATAAAACTAGCTTGGTAGTCTAACCATTCACCAGTCCCTATTATACTTGTTTGTTGTAGGAATGAAAGGCATCACTAGTGATATATACAGTACTAATGTTTGTTGAGCAGTGAGATTGTCCCCGAATGCTGGGTATATCACTCATGGTTTAAGGATTTTTACATTAACCGAGCAGGGATGATTCGTACAGTTGCATTCTATTTTATTAAAAGTTTTCTCTTCATCTTACTTGTGTCACAGGCACGATGTCTGGAGTATGGCGGTCACAGCAGTCATGTGACAGCTATTGGCTTCCTTCATGATGACTCCAGACTCATCTCTACTGGTGGAAGAGACACAGCTGTAATGCAATGGGTAGTGTCTGCTACCTCTTCCTCCTCCTCCTCCTCCTCACAACACTGAAGAGAACAGGAGAAACTAGGAAGATGAAGGAAAAGTGATTCTTGCAAAGCAAGAGTTCAAAGATTTTTATATAATTCACATGATAAAGTGATTATTTTTGAAGATGGATGAACAATGTTCAATTTTTTCTATACATGGTTGTAAATAGTGATGTGTTAGATGGCAGAGCAAGTATTAGTTTTTTGAAATAAAGTAATATTTTTTATTAATGTTGAATAGACTGTTTTTAAAGAGGAAATGGCCCTTTGGTTTGAGGAAAAACAATATTTTAAATTTATGGATATAATGTTTAAATATTAAAATTTCTAGTTTCTGTATAGGATCAATGTGTGGTGCAGATTGGTTATATGGTTGTGAATATGATTTGGTATTGTATATTTGAGCAAGGTTAAAGCAAGATCACCATTCTGGAAAGCTAAAAAAAACAAAATACCTTTGAATATACTATTGTATTTTTTGAAATATAAATTTAATCATCAGTTTAGCATACATTGTTAGTGATTTAGTCTTCCTAATTATTAAGGGGTACATAAATAAAGGGATATAGAGAAGCATAAATGAGTACAATACTGGCAAATAGTTATGATTTGATGATTAAGTTTTAACTTAGTGGTTGGAGGAAATTACAAAAAATCTGCAAATTGTTAATGAAAATGGGACTATTTCTGTCTTGTATCATTAATAGATCACAACTGATAATGGTCAAGGATGGATGGAAATAGGGTTCACTTTTTATTTCCATTTAGAAGCTTGCCCTGTTATTTATTTTAGTTAATTTCACTTGAATAATTGTCTATTCTGTGATTTTATACATCTAAATTAATACTTCATGAATTATTTATGCAGCATGATGACATTATAGTCACATTTTATATATCTAGGATATGTAATGCTTTTTTTTTTTTTTTTTTTTTTCTTTTTTTTTTTTTTTTTACAATATTTCAATATATTTGTTAGTGAAAACATTCTTTATTTAGATATAGCCTTTGCTCTTACTAAAATATCTCACTTTAGAGAGTTACCATTACAGAAGTCTGAAACTGCATGTACTTTATTTACTGAGTGAATGAACAGATAACGTGGCCCTGCAACCCCATCAGAGAGATGTGTGCTTCCCTAAGTAGCTACAAGTTGTACCAATTATATCACATTCTTTTTAGAATAAAATATAATTGAAATTATATAATTGGCTTCTTATAAATTGTAGCATTCCTATTGATATACTGTACAGTTTAGACAAGTTGTAGCATAGGATTGTATTCACGATTTTATATTAGTGCTAAAATTTTTTTTTTTTTTTTTTTTTTTTTTTTTTTGCTCTAGATTCATTAACCCTTATTGATATATGTGGATATAGATTATGTAGTTTACCTGTCTGCATAGTCATTACAATCACTTGTATTGCTATAGTACTTCATTTATGGGTACTCAGCGGATAGAAAGTGGATGAAACAAGTTTTGTATCTCCATGAAGTAATTTTTTTAATGAAAATTAGTTTTGTAATATAAACTACATTTTTAAATACCCATGAAAGTCATTTTCATAATTTTTTAATGTAGAAGAAAAATGCCATTTTAAAAATTAAAATTTCTTTTCAGATAAATGCTTTATGATATTTAGTATTTGTCCACTTTCAATTTTTATTTTTTTAAATGAATTGGCTGTAATTGCTCACCAAGCAGAACACAGTTTATATATAAATCTTTTTAGTAGATTAAGGAGTTCAAAATATCTTAGTTGTTTTATTCCTTAACAGCCTTATGACTGCACAACATTTTCAAGGAATTTCAGCACTACAGTGTAAATTTATCGGTATATTTAAGTTAATCTTGTAAATATTACACCTTTTCCCATCAACCAAAGTTTGAAATAAATCTTTAACTTGGAAGAGTATTATTTTTACCCCAGACTGATATGTTAAAACTTCAAGATCACTTGGGCTTTGGTGATCAAGCAATTTTGTGATATTAGCCCAATTCTGCCATATTGTCAATATATGGGTTATCTAAAGCATTACACTAAAGATCCAGTATTAAGTTCACCAGGATCTGACATAAATTGTGTAAATTTACTATTCAAGATTTTGGCTACTACATCCTCTCCTCACTTACCAATGGAGGTTTGTTCCTAAGACCACGTCGGTAAACGAATTCGTCACTAATTAAAAGATTCAGTATCATGTTTGCTGTGTAAATCCTTTCAATTTGTTCATTATTAACGGTAATACAAGTGAAATAGGTCAGCAACTTACAACATGAAATAGGTCAATAACTCACTCCCTTGAAAGCAAAAGACTAGGCAGATGGTGTAACATACCCCCAATGAAAACAGTGGTGCCATGAGTACAGTGGTCCCTCAATTATCGTCCATAATCCGTTCCTGGAAATGGGACTATTATCGAAATGGACGATTTACGATTCAATTTTCCCCATAAGAAATAATGTAAATTCAATTAATCCGTTCCTGACACCCAGAAGTATTAAAACAAAAATTTTTTTTACGTGAAATATAGATGTCGTACATAAACAATACAGTGGCACATGATGAATTAAACATTAACAGAATAACACTTACCTTTATTGGCGATTCTTCTTTGTGTATGGAAGACTGGAGAAGGAGACAGATTGGAAGATTTACTGTTTAGAAGGGGAATCCCCTTCCATCAACACCTCGGGTACCAATTGCTTTTCTGGGGTTACTTCTCTTCTCTGTTTCATAATGCCACTAGGACCACCTTGAGAGTCACTGGAGTCCTGTCTCGCAAAAAAACTGTCCAGAGAGCTCTGTTTGTGGCGTCTCTTTAAAACTTCCCTAAAATGGGCCAAGACTCCGTCACTGTACAAGTTGCCGATATGGCTTGCAACATCCTTCTCTGGGTGATGTTTCTCCATAAATCTTTCCATCCTACCCCACATTTCAAAAATCTCCTTAATTTCTGAAGAAGGCACCTTCCTCCAACTCTCTTCCTCCTCCTCTGCAGCAAGATTATGAGCTGCGATCTGTTGCTCTTCCTGCTGAAGCTCTTGCAGCTCTTTGTTGTGGTCCTCCACCAACTCTTCCACATCCTCCAAACTCACATCCAACCCCATGGAACTCCCAAGTGCGACAATAGAGTTTACAACTGACATAGGCTCATCAGGGGCTGCCTCAAACCCTTCAAAATCCCTCTTGTGGACACAATCTGGCCACAATTTTCTCCAAGCAGAGGTCAAAGTCCTGGTAGTCACTCCCTCCCAAGCCTTACCTATAAGGCTTATGCAATGGAGAATACTGAAGTGTTCTTTCCAGAAATCTCATAGGGTCAAGTGAGTGTCTGAGGTCACATTCAAGCACCTTTCAAACATTGCTTTGGTGTAGAGCTTTTTAAAGTTTGAAATGACTTGCTGGTCCATGGGCTGGAGGAGAGGAGTGGTATTCGGGGGCAAGAACTTTACTGTGATGAACTCAAACTCCTTCAGAATTAGGCCATCCAAGTTTGGAGGATGAGCAGGTGCATTGTCCATTACTAGGAGGCACTTGAGATCCAATTTCTTTTCCAAGAGGTAATTCTCAACACTAGGGCCAAACACTTCATTGAACCACTCAACGAAAATGTCCCTTGTGACCCATGCCTTACTATTAGATCTCCAAAACACACACAATTTACTCTTCATAACATTGTTTTTCTTGAACACTGGAATTTTCAGAATGGTACACTAGTAACGGCTTCACTTTGAAATCCCCACTAGCATTAGCACAGAACATTAGCGTCAGCCTGTCTTTCATAGGCTTGTGTCCTTCCTGGCAGCGCCTTTTCTTCCTGAGTAATGTAGGTCCTCTTTGGCATTTTCTTCCAAAAGAGGCCTGTTTCATCACAATTGAACACTTGTTCAGGTTTCAGTCCTTTACTGTTTATGTACTCCTTGAATTCATGCACATATTTTTCAGCCGCCTTGTGGTCCGAACTAGCAGCCTCACCACGCTTCTTAAATCTCTCAAACCAGCCTTAAATTCACTCACATCACCACTAGTTGCAGGCAATTTCTTTACCAAATCGTCATGCAACTGCCTAGCCTTTTCACAAATAAGCGACGTCATAAGACTATCTCCTGCTAAGTGTTTCTCATTTATCCACACCAATAATAACTTCTCAACCTCTTCGAGTACTGGTGATCTCATTTTTGTCAGCATATTTACCCCCTTTGCAACAACAGCGTGCTTGATTTCCTTTTTCTTGGCTATGAAGGAAGATATGGTTGTACGGGATTTGTTATACATCCTGGCCAGTTCGCCCACATGTATGCCACTATCATATTATTCAATGATGTTTTTCTTAAATTCAATCGTATTTTTCACCTTCTTTACCAAAGGCTTGGCACTAGGAGCTTTCTTTGGAGCCATGGTAGCTTATTTAGCACTTAAATAACTTGCAAGCACTAAAATGAATGGAATATTATGAAATATTTCGCTGGAGCACGCGAGGGGACCGTCACTCTCTGGTAAACAATGGCACACTGGCTGGGAAGGGAAGGCCCAGGCAGCTCAGAGCGTGAGTACGCGTCCGGGACGAAGGACTATTAGCGAGTTACCGGACCATTTGCGAGCCAATATTTACACGAAAAAACAGGACTATTTCCGAAATGGATGGCTTTCAGGCTGGACGATTATTGAGGGACCACTGTACTTAGAGAAAACACAATAACTGCCCAGAGCCCAAGACTGTTCAACAGACCCCTGGCAGTCTTCAAGAGAGAAAACTGAACAGATACCTTAAGTCGAATCAATTTTTTTTCGAGACATATTTTGGCAGGTGGAGTTTTGGTTTCCTAATTTTTTTATCACAAGGACATTTTGTAATTTTTAATAACCTTCCTCACCCACACCCGCCCTCCTCTCATCCCAATATCCCCCTTCATCTCCCCCTCCACTTCCATCTCCCTTATCTTCTCATCCCAGTGTCCCCAACCCTTCCCTCCCCTTTCATCCCAATGTCTTCCTTCACCACCTCCCTCTCATCATCCAGGATCCCCCTTGCTTCATATTTTTTGAATCAAGATTTCATTTCCATGTTTCTCTTTGAACTGAAATTAGTTTTTCATATTTTATATTTATATGTTTTGGTGAAAATGCAGGAGCAGGTCGGCCATCATTAATCCGGCATCATTGGACCTGTAGTGTGCAGGATTAGTGAGTTTGCCGGATTACAGAGTGGTTAGATTAGAATACGCTTAATTAACCTATCAACAGAGACTTTCTGTTACATCTTCCTCATTTTCATCACTGCTTTCTCCTCCACTGGCTTGCTGTTGTGGATTTACAATTATCTACATAATTTCTGAGTCAATATAATAATGAAATTTGAGTCAGTATAATGATAAAATTTGAAATTACGCTAGCTGAAATTAGTGCCGGATTACTGATGGGACTGGATAACTGATTGTTGTATTAGTGATGGCCAACCTGTAGTAATGTCCTTAGACTTGCATGACCACTCTCGTTGTCTCAACCTCATTGGCATATAAACTGAGTTGAGATGATTTCATTGCCCACAAATACTTATCTCCTTCCCCTAAAGTTTTATGACCAACTTTAATTTACTATTCAAGTTTCCTTTGTATAAAGTAACCACTCCACTGTGTAAATTGACACACATTCAAATCCTGTTATTAAAGACAGAGTAAAACCTTAATTCTCTGTACACATTACCACATAAATGGTATTAGGTGTTCTTAACCCCTTAACTGTCCAAATGTAGATCTACGTACTCTCGCCCAGCGCTCCGAATATTTTGAAAAAAAAAGTTTTTTTCTTTTTTAAATAAAGAGGACATTTTTTTTACATGTAAAAATCTAAAAACAAAATTTTATAGTCAGTACTTACAAAGATATAAGGCTACGAAGTTGGCACTTGTTGGTTCACCTGATGGTAACATGAAGTGCTGTTGCTTGCAGAAATGCTGCTGATGTACCTTTTTTTCTCACTTTTTTTATTTATATAATTTTTGTTTTGATAATTACAATTTGTAGAAGTTCTCGTGATTTCATAGCCAATCTTTGTTCTGACACTAATATTAGGTACTGAAATAATCACAAACTGAGTGACAGGTGAACACTTTCACCTACCTTAGTCACAAACTGTTGTCTAGAAATATATGCATAGTATTTATAGGTCCCAGCAATGTTTTGGACACGCAGGAGTATATATGAAACTCCTTGAAGCATGGTGTAAGACGAGTGTCACTCCACTGCTGACAGTGCAGCAGTGGAGTGACATTTGATGATCATGCACTGCCTTGGCTTTATTTGTTTTCACTGTTACATATAAAAATGTCTGTGTCTATCTATCTGTCTAGCTCTGTTTATCTGTTTCTGCTTATCTGTCTTTCTGTCTCCCTGCTTCTCTCTCTGTCTCAGAGAGAGCGACTTGTGAAGCAACAGGTATTAGGCATGATGCAGAGATGCATAGTCACGTCTGATTCCTGAACAAGTGAAAATGCATATTACCTGCTTATATCTACAAGCACAGTATAGCACTTTGTCTGGATTTTTTGGGTTATCCTAGGTAATTTACACTATGTACATTTAATTGTATTTATGTGTACCTGTGAGACAGTTAGTTATTCAAGGTCTTTTTCATGCACCCCATACCCATCCTGTGGGCGGTAGTCAAAAGATCACAGAGGTACATAATAAGTCCAAGGACTGGACCACAAAGGTATGATAGCTGAACTAGCTACAAAGGTAATTAACTCCAGGTAGATCTGGACACAATCATGGCAAGTTACAAAGGTAATGAACCATCTACACTCCTATACATGGTTACAGTCATGAACAAATTACAGTGGACCCTCGGGTAACGACGTCATCGGCTAACGAAAAAATCGGGTAGCGACATGTTTTTGCGTCAAAA